TTATATAGGAGCCCTGGTGGTGCAGTGGTTAAGAGCTCGGCTGCCAAGCAAAAGGTCAGCAGTTCAAATCCACCAGCTGTTCCTTGGAAACCCTATGGGGCAGTCCTACTCTGTCCTGTAGGGTTGCTATGAGTTGGAATTGACTCAACAGCAACGAGTTTGTTTGTTTGTTTTGGTCTGTGTATGTGAATGATAATATATAAGAAATGAAGTAAGAAATATAAATGATGGTCTATGTCCTTTAAAAGTATAAAGCATTAAACAAGTGAAATAAGATTGGATAATATAAAATTAAGTCTTTTTATAAAAATATGTGTTAACAGTATAGGGAGAGCAGTTAGGGTCATATAACAATGTATGTATAAATTTTTGTATGAAAGCCTAACTTGAATTGTAAACTTCCATTTAAAGTATAACAATAAATTTAAAAAAAAATCTGTTAAGACATAATTGTATTTACAACGTGAGGTTTAAATGAGTCATCTAAACAAACATTACCAGAAATAACAAAGGAAACAAGAAAATTGACCTTGATCCAAACATGTTTACAATTGACAATGTGTACACAAACACTTCCTTATTCTAACAGTCCTGAGAGGCGGTTTTTGCTGTCTCCATATTGTGGACGAGGAAATTGAATCCAGATAAGTGATTTGTCCAAGGTTGCCCAGCTATAACTGTAGGTGACAAGAGTCAGGACTTGAAGGTAAGGACTTCTAGTTCTGCATACTATGCCTTTACTCTCATTGCTACTTCTGTTCAAAATATAACTCTTGTTTTCTCCTCTCTGCCTAACACTCTTCTGTCCCTGACTTCTTCTTGATAAATGGCATCATGTTGTCTCAGGCCAGTAACCTAGGAGTTATGCTTAACATCTCTCTTTTCTTCACCTTCAGTATCCAATTAATCAGCAGATCCTGCCAGATTTACCCTCCAGTATACATCAAATCCAAGGACTTCTCACCACCTCCAGCCAGCATCTTGGTCCAAGAATTATCCTGCCTTCCTCCTGTTGCCATTCTTAGGCATCTCTCTTTCCTCTCCTCCCCCATTCCACTCTTCACGTAGAAGCCAGAGTTATCTTTTAGGATTCAAAGGAGATTGTGTAATTCTTCCATTCAGACACTCCAGATGAATCATATCATATCTAGAATTTGCTTCAGAATAGCTTGGGGGCAGGGGAGCCTATAAAATCATACAAGATGTGACTCCTGCCTACCTCTGCGTCCTCATACCTGCCCTCACCCCATCACTGACTTCAGCCATACTGCTTTCTTACTCTTCACCAAATGTACATGGAGTTCCTTCCTATCTCAGGGTCTTTGCCCTTGTGTTCCCTTCTGCCTGGAATGCCCTTTCCCAGACCTTCACGTGACTCATTGTCTCACTTTATCCAGGCCTCTGCTGAAATATTAACCTTTTAGACCTTAATTCCTTACCCTACTTTGGTTTTTCTGCATGTACTTGTCACTACGTGAAAATGTATCATGTATTTTTAAATTTCTTGTTTCTTTCTTTCTTCATCACTAAAAAAAGCCAGGGTAAAAACTTTGTCTTTTCACCATTGTATTTTCATTGCCTAAAACATAATAGACACTCAGTAGATTTTTGAATGAATAGGTACCTATGCAAACTCCATTTTCTAAGTTGTGAAGAAGTATCTGGTCTGGAATAGGAAAACCCTAGGTTCACTTGATCACATTCTCCATCTATCACCTTATGAATTTAGGAAGTTGTTTGTGATTCTGCTTTTGTTATCCACAGAATTGGAGATAAGATAGAATTTTAGGGGGATTAAATGAGGACATGTGCTTGAGTCCTTCGAAAATAGTAAGGTGTTGTATACATGGAAGAGAAAGAAAGCATGTATACGACTTTCAGAGCCTGTTTCTCCTCAAGGACAGCACTTGAGACAGGGAATGTATAGAAATCCATTTCTTCAGTGTTTCTCTGCAGCGCTATACCCTTACAACTTGCAGAGACGCTATTCTGGCAATCTTAAAATCCTAAGCCTACGCCCTCTTGTTCGTACCCATACCCAGGCCCAAAGAACAATTTGCCCAAGCCACATGGCTCCCAGATGAGTATGAGAAATAATGCTTATGCATCATAATTTTTGCTAAGAACCAAGTAATATTAGTTTTAGGGGCAGTTCACTTAGGCAGGACTGCCATAATGATAGGAAAGTTTTCTCTTGATTATTCACAGACAGCCTTGTTTTTTTTCTCAGAACATGCCAGGCTGTGTTTAAATAAATGAGTAATGTTGTTTGTCGTTACTCAAACCAGTTCTACCCTAATGCTGTTTGGAATGAGAAAACCTCTTCCCATGCAACCGCCGGATTGATTCAAAGGAACTGACCCTCCTGTCTTGAGCAGTGTAACCCCCAGATGGGCACGATTCCTTTCAGAGATTCATGTTGTTGTTAGTTGGTGTCTAGTCGATGTCGACTCATGGCCCACGTGTGCAGAGATTCATACTCTTTGCTGTCTTCTGCCCCTAGCCATTCAGCCTATGTGGTGGTCTTAGTAGTCCCAACCCCTCCTCCCCATACTTTGTCTAACGAGCCATCTTGTTTAGCCTCTGACCAATATAGTAACTTATACGAAAATACTTCTTTCTCAATAGAAGCTGACAGGTAATACAGTGAAAGTTCTAGTTGCTGTAAGTTGCATTGACACTTGTAGTACAGAGCAATGAAGTTCTTAGCAAATAAGTAAAATCTACTCGTGAGTATGGTGTTGTTTCATGGGAGATGGTTTCTTCATGAAGAGGAAGGGGTATACTATTCTTAGCACCTAACCTGCTGTTGCTTCTATCCCAGGTTGAAGGGAGGGAATGAAGGAAAGGGACTGTTATCTGCTTCTGGAGACAACATGATGGCTGAGCCATATTGTAGTACCAAGAGGAGTTTCAGTAAATGAAACAGTGGCTCTCAGATGTGGGGCTAAAAGAATCATGCCTTCCAGCCTCCATTTTGGTCCTTTTCTGAAGTGAGTCAGATTACAAATGTTGATTCTATGTTGAAATAATAAATGGGGGGAAAATAACTGGTTTCCTGTGATAGTAGTAAGAATAATAATTAAAATTATAAATAATAGAATCCATTTACTGAATACTTACTAAGTGCCTAGTAATAAGTCCTAAGCACTTTATACATGAGTCTTGGCCTGGAACTTGAAGCTTTGTGTTACTGATAATCTTTCAGTTGCATAAAAGAGAGGCATGCTAATATTACCTTAGTTAAAGGGAAGCTACTGTAAGAATCCTCAGGTGAGTAAAGAGGGTGGGGAACAGTCTTAGCTTCCTTACAGGCCTCATGGAAACATCATTCAGGACCCAGTGTCACGCTGATGGGCAGTGTCCATGCTGTGCCTTCAGCAGCAGCTTCTTTTGCTACCACTCTAGTGCTCCTTATTGTGGAGACTCAGCTCTCTGAATTTTGTTACCTATACAACTCCTACCTTTCCTTCAAAGTCCCACTTAATTCCCTCTTCTTCCATGAATTCTTCTTTGATCCTCCAGTCTTTATAGTTCATGTTTGGACTTAACTACTTTCTTCTCTATTTTGTAATTATGTGTATGCTATGTCACACCAACAATATGTGAACTTCTGAATGGCAGCATATGTGTTTGATTTTTCTTTGTTTCCTAAACGCGTGTTAGTCTGTCCTATTTATTATATGCAGGATATATACATGTGTAGTACTTTTCCCTGTTCCACCTGTGGGCATTCCTTAGATGATAATGATCTTGGCTATACAGCCAACACTAATTGAGGGCATACTATATGCCAGGAAAAGTGTTACATGACATTACTCCATTTAATCATCAAAAAAACCCATGTGGGTAGATACTATTATCATCCCCATTTTCCAGATAAGGAAAATCAAACATACAAAGATAAAATATGGACTAAACCAAAGCTAAGAAATTTCATGATTACAACCGAACACATAAGGGACAGAGTAGCAGGGGCAGGGGTCTGGGGACCATGCTTTCAGGGGACATCTAGGTCAATTGGCATAACAAAGTTTATTAAGAGAATGTTCTGCATCCCACTTTGGTGAGTGGCATCTGGGGTCTTAAAAGCTAGTGAGTGACCATCTACGAAGCATCAGTTGGTCCCAACCCACCTGGAATAAAGGAGAATGAAGAACACCAAAGACACAAGGAAAGTATTAGCCCAAGAGACAGAAAGAGCCATGTAAACCAGAGACTTCATCAGTCTGAGACCAGAAGAACTAGATGGTATCCGGCTACCACAGTGACTGCTCTGACAGGGAACACAACAGAGAGTCCCTGATCGAGCAGGAGAAAAGTGGGGTGCAGACCTCAAATTCTAGTAAAAAGACCAGACTTAATGGTTTGATTGAGACTGGAGGGACCCTGGAAGATGTGGCCCCCAGGCTCTCTGTTAGCCCGAAACTAAAACCATTCCCGAGGCCAACTCTTCAGACAAAGATTAGACTGGACTATGGGACATAAAATGATACTCACGAAGAGTGTGCTTCTTAGCTCAAATAGATACATGAGATTAAATGAGCAGCTCTCATCCGGAGGCAAGGTGAGAAGGCAGAGAGGGTCAGGAGCTGGTTGAATGGACACGGGAAATCCAAGATGGAAAGGAAGAGTGTGCTGTCACAGTATAGGGAGAGCAAGCAGGGTCACAAAACAATGTATGTATAAATTTTTGTATGAGAGACTAACTTGAATTGTAAACTTTCACTTAAAGCACAACAATAAAAAGAGAAAAAAAAGATAAAATAATTTTCCCAATGTCACACATCTAGTAAATGATAGGGCCAGAGTTTGAACCAAAGCCATCTGGCTGCAGAGTCTGTATTCTTCCCTACCTCTCTCTGCAGCCTTCTCAAATCACCATTGTTGGCTTGCCCTGAAACAAATAAAGAAAAGTTCTCTCATGCATGTCTGATTGAAAGATGAGTTTTAATCTAGATATTCAAGGCTGATTTCTTTTCTCTTTTTGTTTAAAGCAGACTCACTTGCCCTGTCTGCTCTGTTTGAGCCTTCAGAGAAGGGAAGGAATGCTGCAAGGAAAGCCCAGGGGGAATAAACTGTGCCATCAGGGCTGTGGCAGAAGAGCACCTGGAGAAACGTGGGCAGTGCTCTTTTCCATGGTCTTGGCAAGTGGCAGCTTGCAGAGAGAGGTGCTTTCACGACAGTGGCTGCCCTCACAGCTTCAGACTCATGTACCTTGGACACAGTGAGATTGGGGAACGGCTGCCTCTCTCAGCCAGGGGTGGTGCAGGCTGCTGTTTGGAAGAGCAGGGTGTGAAATCACATTTATCGTCCTGAGACATTTCCCAAAATAAAAAGACTTTTTGTGCTGACTCCTGCTTTTCCAACTGTGGCCTGTTTCCTCTTCTTTTAAAACAATCTTTTCTACACAGCTGTTCTCTTCCTCCCCAGCTTTGAGTGATAGGGCTGACATCTTGGGAGAAAGAAAATGATCTCTTTCTTCAAAGGTTATGTCTCTGTCACACCCAGAAGTTGCTTAAACTTCAGTCTTTGCCTCTGGAGGTTTGAGGCAAGGTGAGGAGTGCCCAAGCCAGACTTCTGACTCCCTGTGGACTGAAAGAAAGAAGGGTCAGCTCTTAGCCCTGAATGAGCCAGAATCAGTCAGTGAATGAGTTTTTTACTGAGTCTCAACCAAGTGCTTAGACTTGTGGTGGGATGGAATCTTTGCCCTCTTAAGTTGCTTATAACCAAGGGTAAGTGATGGAGGATAGTCAAGATTATCATATACAACATAATCAGACAATAATGAGATAATAACGTAATTAAGATCCAAATTTTTTTTTTTAACTCTAGAAGTTGTAGGAGTTTTCAGAATCAGTGCAATGCAGTGGTTAAGGAATATGGCTTTGGGGTCAAAGGTTCTGGATTTGAATTCCAGCTTTACCACCTACTAGCTATGTAATCTTAGGCCTGCTATTTAAACTCTCTAGGCCTTGGTTTTCTCATCTCTAAAATGGGGGTAATAATAGTGTCTAAAATAAGGATGAAATGAGATGATTTATTCATTCAGTAAAAACATCTGTCAAGTGCCTTGTTTATGAGAGAGACTGTTCTAAGTGCTTGGGGTATGCAAATGACCCTGACATTGCAGTGGCTTACAGTAAATGTTTGTTTCTCTCACATACTACATGTTCATTATGGATTGGCTTTAGCTCTGCTCCCTTCCCGCTCATTCTAAGACCAAGGGTAAAAGAGCAACCTCTATGACGGACATACTGGCAGAGGGAAAAGAAGAATGGCAAACCATGCAACGCATTCCAGTAGAGCAGGGGATCACTGTTGGAGCAGAGTGAGGAGTGATTTCAGACAGGGAGATGACTCCTGGTGGCCCACTAGATGAGAAGACTGTTGCAGTGATTCAGATGAAAGATTTTGAAGTTCTGGACTTGGAGGAAACATAGATAGGAGACATGGAGAGGACTTAGGGTGTGCTTTATCTGCTGGATGAGAAGGATGGAACTAAATCAAGAGCCCTGGCTTCCAAGCCTAGCTCTGCCACTACTCAGCTATGAAAACTCAGACAAGTCACTGAATATCTCTGGGCTTGTGTTGGAACCTTTGTAAAATGAAAGGCCTGAGTTTGATGCGGGCCGTAAGGTTCTTTCCACCTCTACCCCTCTATGGCTCTAAGACTCCAAGATCTTTGTCGTGGGAGAAAAAGCACAGATGGGGGGTGGTGCTATTGGGAGGCAAGGTTGATTTGGAGAGAAAGATGTTATACCAACTCCTGTTCTGCATTTATCTCAGCCCAATGGTCTTTGCTCTTTGCCTTTTTTCATAGCCCTCACTTTCTCCTTGGCTCTGTTTTGAATCCAAAAAGGAGATAGAATTTATCATTCATCTCCAAAGTGGGGTGGTTGGGAACACATGGGACCTCAAGGTCATGGGGCTAATATAGCTTCTGCACAATTTTTTTCCAGTATGTTTTCTTATCCTGGCATTTTTATATGCTTCTTTCAGCATATTTGCATAATGATAATATCTTCACAAATGTGAGCCTAAGGAGTCTGTTTGGGGAGAAACCCTTTTCTCCTACCCCTGCATTTCCACAGAATCATAAACTTCTGCCAGCTCTTCCTCCTCCTCAAGAGCATGCTTCTGCCTCTCTTTCTACTCCTTTCTTACTTCTTCCAATGGAAGAGGAGAAACTGTCTGGCAAGAGTCTGGTAGTCATTTGGCTTCTCTTCTCTGTTGTGCACAATTAATGTGTTAACAATCACTGCACTGAAAAGACAGCACAGCTGCATCTTTCTTCTCTTTTGCTTTCTTGGATCACCTGACCTCAGGGAGGGTGAGACTTCCTTGCTCTTGTGGTCTTCATTGCATTAAGCAGACTGGGAAGGAGTTGCCTCTGATGGGCCCAGACAGGTGTTTGTTCCAACTTTTCCATCAGTGACTAGATAAGTAAATCAGGTCATTCCTTTTCTAGGATTCAGATTAATTTAGTGGAGGAGGTGGCAGGAGGCACCTACTTTAGCCTCAGATGCCAGTTTATCTTTGTCAGCACTGCACTTCGTTACTTGGGTCTCCATTAACAGAAGTAGTGCCTTGATCACGGTTTAGCTCCATAAATACCTAATCTCCCTGTTTGAAACTAGATAAGACAGTGAATAAATGACACCACAACCTTCAGCAGAATCCTTTCAACATCATATCATAGTTACAATGGCTTTCTATCCCCCTTCTTCAGCTTTGCCAGCAGGAAAGTGCAGTTATCAAAGAGGAGACTATTATTTGCCATGCCGCATAGGATGTAGTTTACAAAAGTTGAGTTGCCATCAACCAGTGTCTGGCTTGACACATAAACCATATTTCCAGAAGACTCAGTCCAGCTCTGTATCATGGCATTTTAGCCACTTCTGCTAAAATGCTGGGTTTGATACTTTTCTCAAATGGCTATTTTAGTTAAATGATTACTTTCACTTTTTGGTACTAAATTTATTGTACAGTATGAGCTCCCCAAAGATGAGAGTTGTACCTAATAGTTTTTGTTTTTTTTTAACCTCCATCCTCATCCCATATCCCACAGTGTTTTGGACTATAACTTTTTAACTGGCAGGTACCTAATAAATTCCTACATGATACCAAAAGATAGTGGTACTTCTTTGTTTTGTTTTTTACTAAAATTGACAAGCTAACTCAGTTGAAATGGTGAACCAATTTGTGAACATGGATGCAACCCCAGTTGACTCGTTTGAGAAAAAAAATTTAATCTTAATCATTGTTTCCAGGACCTCTCCCATGAAACAGAGCTAATGGGTATTAATTTATTCCACAGCATGTGTGCCAGACACTGTATGAGGCACGACACAGATAAAGAATAAACTATGGGCCCTGCTCTTAAGGCACTCGTAGTTCAGTTGAGAAATGAAACTCATGAGCAAAGAATTATAATATACCAGTAGGAGAACTCACAGAGAGAAATGTATTAAGTACTATAGAAGGCAGAGTAAAAAGTGACTAATTCTTAGGGAACCAGGGAAAGTTTCACAGACGTTGACCCATTCAGACCAGTTGCCTGAACAGAGCTGTACAACAGTAAGATGACTGGTGACAGCATGGAGAATAGACATCATAATAGTAAGCTCTGATAGGTACAAGGGGATTTTGTTTTGTTTTCTTGAATTTTTTTATTGTAGTTTAAATGAAGTTTACATTTCAAGTTAGTCTCCCATACAAAATTTTATACATACATTGTTATGTGACCCTAATTGGTCACCCCATTCTACGCACTCCTCCTTTCCGTCCCTGATTCCCCATGTCCATTCAACCAGCTCCTAACCCTCTCTGCCTTCCCATCTCACCTCTGGACAGCAGCTGCCCCTTTGGTCTCTTGTATCTACTTGAGCTAAGAGGCACACTCTTCACGAGTATCATTTTATGTCCCACAGTCCAGTGCAATCCCTATCTGAAGAGTTGGCCTTGGAAATTGTTTTAGTTCTGTGCTGATAGATAATCCAGGGGCCATGCTTTCCGGGGTACCTCCAGTCTCAGTCAGACCATTAAGTCTGGTCTTCTTACTAGATTTTGAGTTCTGCATCCCATCTTTCTGCTGCTCCATCAGGGACTCTCTGTTGTGTTCCCTGTCAGGGCGGTCATTGGTGGTAGCTGGGCACCATCTAGTTCTTCTGGTCT